TGGCGGGCGGGCGGGCGGACCCTAACGGGCGAGGACAGAGTGAGTAGGGCGGACCCAACCGCCCCGGGTCGGTCGGGCGGGCGGGACATTCAAGTACGGGTGCGTGTACACTTGACACGCGCGAACCCTAAACGGGCGGTTCGGTCGGCGGGCGTGGCCCGAGCGGCGGGTCGGGTCGGGTCGGGCGGGCCCTAACGGGCGGGTCGGAGGTCGGGCGGGCGGGACATCAAAGTATGGTGCGTGTATGGATACTGACACGCGCGAACCCTAACGGGCGGGTCGGGTCGGGTCGGGCGGGCGGGCCCTAATGGGCGGGCCGGGCCGGGTCGGGCGGACCCAAACGGGCGGGTCGGGCCAGGCGGGCGGGACATTAAAGCATGGTGCGTGTACACTTGACACGCGTGAACCCGAACGGGCGGGTCGGGTCGGGCGGACGGACCCTAACGGGCGAGTCGGGTCGGGTCGGGTGGACCCTAACGGGCGGGTCGGGTCGCGCGGGCGGGACATTGAAGTATGGTGCGCGTGCACTTGACACGCGCGAACCCTAACGGGCGGGTCGGGTCGGGTCGGGCGGGCGGACCCTAGCGGGGGATTGGGGTCGGGCGGGCGGGGCCTTCAAATATGGTGCGCGTACACTTGACTCGCGTGAACCCTAACGGGCGGGTCGGGTCGGGTCGGGCGGGCGGACCCTAACGGGCGGGTCGGGCCGGGTCGGGCGGACCCTCTCGGGCGGGTCGGGTCGGGCGGGCGGGGCATTCAAGTATGGTGCGTGTACACTAGACACGCGTGAACCCTAACGGGCGGGTCGGGTCGGGTCGGTCGGGCGGACCCTAACGAGCGGGTCGGGCCGGGTCGGGCGGACCCTAACGGGCGGGTCGGGTCGGGCGGGCGGGGCGTTAAAGTATGGTGCGGGTACACTTGACACGCGTGAACCCTAACGGGCGGGTCGGGTCGGGTCGGGCGGGCGGACCCTAACGGGCGGGTCGGGCCGGGTCGGGCGGACCCTAACGGGCGGGTTGGGTCGGGCGGGCGGGACATTAAGTATGGTGCGTGTACACTTGACACGCGTGAACCCTAACGGGCGGGTCGGGTCGGGCGGGCGGACCCTAACGGGCGGGTCGGGTCGGGTCGGGACCCTAACGGGCGGGTCGGGTCGGGCGGGCGGGGCCCTACAGTATGGTGCGTGTACGCTTGACACGCGCGAACCCTAACGGGTGGGTCGGGTCGGGCGGGCGGACCCTAACGGGCAGGTCGGGTCGGGTCGGGCGGACCCTAACGGGCGGGTCGGGTCGGGCGGGCGGGACATTAAAGCATGGTGCGTGTACACTTGACACGCGTGAACCCTCGGGTCGGGCGGGCGGGCCCTAACGGGCGGGTCGGGCCGGGCCGGGCGGACCCTAACGGGCGGGTCGGGTCGGGCGGGCGGGACATTAAAGCATGGTGCGTGTACACTTGACACGCGTGAACCCTAACGGGCGGGTCGGGTCGGGTCGGGCGGGCGGACCCTAACGGGCGGGTCGGGTCGGGTCGGGCGAACCCTAACGGGCGGGCCGGGCCGGCCGGGCGGGACATTAAAGTACGGTGCGTGTGCATTTGACACGCGCGAACCCTAACGGGCGGGTCGGGTCGGGCGGGCGGACCCTAGCGGGCTAGTCGGGTCGGTCCGGGCAGACCCTCACGGGCGAGTCGGGTCGGGCGGGCGGGACATCCTAAACCCTAAAGGGCTTTACTGCGGGTGGTCTGGGGCGGGAGTGCCAGTTCATAGCGCGCGCGGCTTGGGCAGCGATCCCCCCCAACAACCTTGATGCGGGGGGGATCGCAGCCAGCGCGCGCTTGCGCCAATGCAGGCCCTAAGCCTTAAACCCTAAACTCGCCCAGGGCCGTTTGGCCCGTATCCACCCACCCATTTAGGCGGCAAGCGCCCTAACTGGCACCTCGCAGTCAGACTACCTCACGGCCGAACGTGAATGACAGGCCCTGTCCAGGTTGCGTCTCGGTTGCCGTCAGACAGGGCCCGCGAGGGCCTTATCTCATTATCAATGATGCGGCTTACGCGCAAGCGATTATCATGTGCCCGCCTGGGCGATCGACAAAGAGACGTATAACCCCAAAACTACCGCCTAATTCACTGTGGCGGGGGCCCTGGCTCCTCCTGCTGCGTACACGTCAAATCGCTAAAAGACACAGATTGCCACTGGCATTTTTTTTTCGACCTCGAATCCTAAAGTTTTCCAGAGTGGACCCCGCCGATCGGCTGGCTTCCAAGAGACGTTTCCTGGCGACTCGGGCCCCCGCGGGGAGCTTCGGCTGGGCCCCCCAGGCCACCGCCACGGTGAATTCGCTCCCGCCCAAGGGCCATCAAGCCCCCTGAGGGCCCAAAGACGTTTCCTGGCGACTCGGGCCCCCGCGGGAAGCTTCTGCTGGGCCCACCAGACCCCCGCCACGGTGAATTTCCTCCCGCCCACGGGCCTCGGGGTCCCCTGAGAACCCAAAGACGTCTCCTGGCGACTCGGGACCCCGCGGGGAGCTTCATCTGGGCTCCCCAGACTCCCGCCACGGTGAATTAGCTCCTGCCCAAGGGCCCTGGGCCCTCCTGAGGGCCCAAAGACGTTTCCTGGCGACTCGGGCCCCCGCGGGAAGCTGCTGGGCCCCCCAGACCCCCGCCACGGTGAATTCGCTCCTGCCCAAAGGCCCTGAAGCCTCCTGAGGGCCCAAAGACGTTTCCTGGCGACTCGGGCCCCTGCGGGAAGCTTCTGCTGGGCTCCCCAGACCCCCGCCACGGTGAATTAGCTCCCGCCCAAGGCCTCGGGGCCCCCTGAGAGCCCAAAGACGTCTCCTGGCGACTCGGGACCCCGGGGGAAGCCTCTGCCGGGCTCTCCAGACCCCCGCCACGGTGAATTAGCTCCCGCCCAAGAGCCCTGGGCCCCCCTGAATGCCCAAAGACGTCTTCTGGCGACTCGGGACCCCGCGGGAAGCTTCTGCCGAGCCCCCCAGACCCCCGCCACGGTGAATTAGCTCCCGCCCAAGGGCCCTGAAGCCCCCTGAGGGCCGAAGCTTCTGCTGGGCCCCCCAGACCCCCGCCACGGTGAATCAGCTCCCGCCCAGGGACCTCCGTGCCCCCTGAGAGCCCAAAGTTCCCTGGCGACTCGGGCCCCCGCGGGAAGCCTCCTCTGGGCCCCCCAGACCCCTGCCACGGTGAATTAGCTCCCGCCCAAGGGCGCCCGCCACGGTGAATTGGCAGCCGCCCAGGGCCCAGGGCGATCCTCAGGGCGATCCTGGGCGCGCCAGGGACATTCGTGGCGATTCGGGAGCTTCCAGGGCCCTCCCAGGGCACCCCAGGCGCCCGCTACGGTGAAGTGGCAGCCGCCCAGGGCCCAGGGCGATCGTGGGCGCGCCAGGGTCGTTCCGTGGCGATTCGGGAATCCCAGAGCCTTCCCAGGGCACCCCAGGCGCCCGCCACGGTGACTTGGCAGCCGCCCAGGGCTCAGGGCTCGCCTGGGCGCGCCAGCTGGATGTCTTAGTTCAAGAGGAGCGGTATCGGCGGAGCGAGCGGAGCGAGCGGAGCCGGCGCCACAAGCGCACAATCAAACGCCCGCACGGCGTTTCACCCCAAACTCTTTCCCCCGACGTAAAGCGTCAACCCTAAACCCAGGATTGCGCATATCTGTGCACGTGTGATACACAAAGCACTGTATGTCGTACACATGAGACAGAACGCCAAACCGATTGGAATCGTGGAGCCCTAAGAGAAAGAGAAACTCGACTACCAAATGAACCCTAAACCCTAATAGAGAAAGCCGTGGGTGGTTCGCCGCCCTAACGGGCGCGGGGTGGGAATGTGAAAAGGGGAGCTGGCCCCGTAGCCGAAACATGATTCCTCTCAACATAATATCACCTCAACACGATTACCCCACCCCCACTTCATTTTATGGGTGGGGGTGGTCTTACACGATTGATGATCAGCAAGCGCTGACAGAGGACACCCTAAACCCTAAATCTCTAATCTCTATTATTAATAAACCCTAAATCCTTCCAAACCGGGCGCTATGCGGACCGGGCTTCATCCTATGCAAAAAATAGTATTTCCTGATCATGCGCGTTCTATTTGCTCTGAAAACTATGTTTTTTACAATGGATCGTGACCGGTTCTATAAACGGGCGTGGCTGATCCCTGTCAAAAAACACTATATCCTGATCATGCGCATCGCATATATCAGAAAACCATATTTTTTACAACACATTCTGCCCGACCCGGATCGCGGGCCGGGTCGCGGGCCGGGAAGTGTACCGGAGCTTTCTCTGGTAAAAAATACTATAACCTTAAAATCCTGCTCTTGCAAGATGTGTCCATGTTCATATTCCATTGCAAAAAATACGACAAAGTGCACACGCGCGTCGCGGGCGTGGAAGTGTACCGGAGCTTTCTCTGGTAAAACATACTATAATCTTAAAATCCTGCTCTTGCAAGATGTGTCCATGTTCATATTCTATCGCAAAAAAATACGACAAAGTGCACGCGCGCGCGGCCGCCCCGTATGCGCCGGTGTTGTCCCGCTCGCCCGACCCGACCCGCCCGTGAGGTTCCGCCCGATTAGAATATTCAACAGGGGTTTTCGTCTCGAACCCTTCTTTGTGTTTTGACGAGGGTCATGTCTGGTGGGGCAGTTGTATTTATTATAATCGTTGTGGCCATGAGTGTGCAACGGATATTCGTGTATTCATCCTATTGCGGTTACTCTTTCGCTGCTTGTTGGGCTATGCTTACCATAATCGGTGTGGCCATACGTGTGCAACGGACATTCGAGTATTCATCTTATTGTGGTTTCTCTTTTTGTTTTTTGTGCTATGGCTTGTCATGTTATGTTGAGATATGTTATTACGATGTCATTTTGCAGTGTATGCCCGGCTGTGTGTGCATCATTCCGTCTAACACCATCCGGTCATTTTATGTGTTGTGTTTCGGTGTGAGGGCAAGGCGGGCAAGGGTTTTTCTGGCGGGCATGCTGGACGAGCTGGTGGCGCTGGTGGAGGAGCATGCTGTCTATGCAGAATTTGTCAGGCAGCACGGCGCGGAGACCATCGTTAGTCTCCTGGACATCACCAAGGACGAGGCTGCCACTATCACGCCGTACCTGCCCTTCGTCACGAAGCAGAAGGAGCGGGGCTCTGTCACGAAGGGTCCTACTTATAACTGGAAGAAGACGCAGGTTTGCCGCGTGAGCTACAAGAGCGAGGACCTTGAAACCTGTGGTGCTATGACTCCGAGGGCTCGTGCCGCGTATGACTGGCTCATGGCGCACAACCGCACCTATCGGCGCTATGTTATTCGGCACAAGCATCAGCTGGCCGCCCCTGTGGAGGACCGGGAGATGTACATTGCCACCTATCGGTTGCTCATCCAGTGTCGCGGCATCGAGGTGGCGCTGCATCCCGTGCTCTATCCCTGGGAGGTCTTTAGCGACAGTGACGTCAGCAGCTGGGCCAAGGACCGCGAGCTGGTGAAGCCGTCCCAGCAGCCCACTATCAAGTCCAGCTTCCTGCGGAAGGTGCACTCCCGCTGTCGGACCTATGGCGACGCGGAGGCCGTGCCGGACCTGGCCTTCCTGCTCTATGATATGGCAACCGCGCAGCGCATCTACGCCAGCCTTGCCATCGCGGAGCGCCAGGGCATCACGCCCGATGTCGTCGCTGACAATAGCTCGACGTCCGAGAGCTATTGGCGTCACGAGCAGGATCTCTCGATCGCGACGACGATCTAGACGACGAGTGACGACGACGACGACGACGACGACGACGGTGTCGACGCCCACGATCACGATGATTTGCAGCAGGACATCCTATGTGACGTCGTTCGCCAGCACGCTCTGTTGCGTGGGGTGGTGAAGGCCTTCCCCAACCTGTTCATCACCATCGCTCCGGCGGAGTGGAAGGTGCTCCTGCACGAGCCTCTATTTGCCGACTGGAAGGCCGCGGATCGCTTGTCGGCGTGCCAGGGGTTGTTGGCAGAGCACATCTATGAGCTGCTCTATGATGGCATGAAGCAGATTCTCCGCCCGAGCGAGTTCTTAGAGGAGCTCTCAGACTATGTCATTCGCCTGGAGTTCCAGGGCCGCAAGACAGAGCACATCCATATTGCGGCCTGGGTGCTCCCCAAAGGCCGTCTATCTGGTCGTAACGGCCAGGCGGACCGGTCCGCCTCCGTCATGTTCCTGGAGGAGGTGTTCCGCGGCTCCGTGGACGTGCAGGAGGGCTATGGGTTTTTGAACTATATCAACGGCTACGTCGTGAAGGCCAATCAGTCTATGGATTTTCAGCCCGACGCGGCTCGAAGCGCCGGAGATGAACACTCGGCGTGGCGTACGACCTATCGTATGCTGTGCAAGCTGGCGCCGGGTCTCCCGGAGGTCTCTGGATTTCGCGGGTGCCAAACACATGTTTCGCACGTTCGGCGTCGACAACGCGTGCGCTATCATACCCGCCGCGGATGACAGGCACATCAACGACACCAAGCGGCTGTATAAATTATATCTCAAGCGGGCTTGTGTTGGGAATGAACCGAGGCCGTGCGGCAGCTTTCTCAGCTACCTCCGCGTCTATAAACTTGCGGATGGGGACCACAACAGGGTCATCCAGCGCAGAGGACGTGGTGATGACTCCCGCGTGGCGGTGGGCGTCCGCTATGCATTTGAGATGCAGGATAATTTCATCGGCCAGTTCTGCACTATGATGTTCCCGCACGTGGCTGGCACTTTTGTTCCTCCATTAGATAGGGATCCCGAGCTCATCCCCTTCACGAAGCACTATCTCAAGGCTGTGAAGTATCTGCGGCACCTCGCGTGCCTGAAGGGCACGCGTCCTGCTTGCGAGCAGTCTATCCGCCTGCAGGCGCAGGCCATGCTGCCGCGGGAGGCCGGGGAGGCAGAAGAAGTTTATGATGAACGCGTTCTGGCGAAGATGGATAATACTTCTTGGATAGGCTTCGCCACGGAGGCCAATCGTATCGCCGAGCTGTGCGACGCTTCCGTGGAGTCTATAGGTCATCGTCTTCATGAGTCTAGCTGGGAGCCCTTCGACAGTTGGCCCTGGCTCCCACCGCCTGACTCCGTCTCCGAGGACGCCTCTATCCGCCCGGCAGATCAACTGTTCCATCCTCTGAGATGTGCTGACGATACTCAGGGCGCCTATGGTAAGCCTTTCCACTGCGTCGACGCGGCGCTTCATTATCTCGAGGACGTGATTGTTGCGGATCTGCGCATCCGCGTGTCTCTCGGGCGTCATTGGTCGTTCCGGGCGCGGCTCCATGCCGTGCACGTTTACTATAACCACATGCAGTTCTGCTTTGATAATCCCGAGGCTATCCCGCCGGATGTTCGCCGCAGGGCTGACTGCCTGTTGCCGGACATGCAGAACCGATACTACGAACAGTATAAGAGAGAGTGGGGGAGATGTCAGGCGCATGCGCGGCCTCGCATCACATGGTCTGCAGACCAGCAGGAGGTGCTGAAAATGGTAGACGGTGTGCTCTCCCGAGCCGAGGCTAACATCGTCCAGCAGCAGTTCTACTACGTGAACGGGGAGCCAGGCAGCGGCAAGACGGAGGTCCTCTGCGAGGCTGCCCGCCGGGCCGCGGACGCTGGTCTCCACGTCCTGATTCTCGGTCCCACGGGCACTCTGGTGCACACCTATAAGACCAAGGTTCAGCGCGACAACATCAACGTGGAGACCATACATTCCGCGTGGCACATCTATCGCAGGGCCGACACTGTTGTGGACTATGCGCCGCCGTCGCGCTTGCGCACCTATGATCTATTCATCATCGACGAGGCGTCGCAGATCGAGGACGACGTGGCCGTCCGCTTGCACAACGGCTTTAGGGAGTTGCCGCAGCGGCCCACTATCTTCTTTGCTGCGGACTTCCAGCAGCTGAATCCGCTCGGTAGTTCGTCGGCTATGCGCACGTGGATCACTGTCATGACCACTATTTCGCTGTTCACTATACATAGGACAAATGATGATCGTCTATTATCTTTCCTGCGAAATGTCCGGGTGAAGCAGCCGAGCAAGGCAGTTATTCTGGCCTTCTTCGCTGGGCGTACCTGGGACTCTATCAGCTTGGAGCAGGCCGTGCGGAGGGGCATGCATCTCGGCGCTATTCTCGATGAGCCCTTCCACTGGCTCACCGTTACCAACAAGGGGGCGGAGGCTGTGAATCTTGCGTGTCTGTCGGCGCGCGGCTACGACAAGCCTGAGAACTTATCGCCGCTCTGCGGCGACCTCAAGGTGCTATACCTCGAATGGGTTGTCGGGGGATGGCCTGGGCATTTCGCGGCATGCCCATGTATCGGCCATGCATCTGGCTGTCTATCCTTCATGGAATGATAGCTGCTGTTCACGTCGCTGATGCATCGGTGTGCTTAGTTTTTCTTCACTGGGCCGTCCTGCCGGACACTCGGGGGAGGCTATTCTAGGTATCTGGCCCGCAGCGTCTGTTTATCGCGCCTGGTGTCGTTGTTCGGCTCACGCGGAACCTCGACAAGGAGCGGGGCTTCGTGAACGGCGCCACCGGCACTATCGATGTTGTATTGGAGAATAAGTCTACCTTTACGGTGACGCTCACGGGCACCAAGCACCGTATCCTTGTGCACCGTATCACAGACGGCGGTGACTTCTTCCTGCCGTGCACCTACGGCTATGCCACTACCATCCGCAGGGCTCAGGGATCTTCCCTCGGGCTTGGTGCGCTATACTTCGATCATTGCTATCCCCCCGAGCGGGGTTATGGCTACGTGGGTGCCAGCCGTTTCAGACTCACTGAGCGCATCTATCATTTTGGGTGCATCCGGCGAACGGACTGGCTTCCAGTCAGCATGAAGCGAGATGATCCGGATGAGCAGACTATGAGGTCCGCTCAGAGCGACTCTGATGACGAGTACGGGCCTGTGCCAGATGACAGCGACACGTGTTCCGAGGCTGGCAGTGGTTCTGAGTATCCTTCCTCTGAAGAGGATGTCGAGTCCCGGTGCGTTATCCTCGAGCAGATGGCTGCATTTTCTGGTGCATGTGACTTGGCAACTTTTGCGGGGTCTTATGTGGCTGATTGAATTGCAATTCATGTGTAGTTATGAAATCATCTTCGTGTTGAGTTGCTTCTTCCTGCGACGTACTGGAAATGGTATGAGCTACTCGTTGATCAGGTTGTGAGCCTTCTATGCTATGTTATGCTATGCTATGCTATGCTATATTCGTTGATCAGGTTGTGAGCGTTCTATGCTATGTTATGCTATGCTATGCTATAGTATAGGTTCCCCACTTTGTGGGGAACCTATGCTTTGCCAATTCTGCGCTATGCTATTCTGCGATATGCTGTTCTATGTTGCCATAAACAAAGCGAGTACGGTTTCCATGCGGGTTTCTAGAATTGAATATCGTGTCTGGACGTGATTCACGGTTGTTGATGATCAAATTGACCAAGGGTTTCTATAATCGCATACCGGGTTTTCAAGTGTACATGGGCCAGTGCGGCAGTCTTATGCTATGCAATGGTATGCACGCAGGTTTCACTTAGTGGGGAACCTCAGCTTTTCCATGCTTTGCTATGTTGTGCTACGCTAAGCTGATGTGTAATGCTATATCATAGCTCTTCCACTTAGTAGGGGGGGCTATGTTTTGCCATGCTGTGCTATGTTAGGCTATGCTATGCTATGCTACACTATGGGTTCCCGACTAAGTGCGGAACCTATGGTTTGCCATGCTGGGATATGGTATGCTGTGCTATGCTATGATACAACATAGATTCCTCACCTAGTGATGAGTCTAATCTTTGCCATGCCGTGCTACCCTGCTTTTCCATGCTATGCTATGCTGCACCATGGGTCAAGTTGTTGCAAACTGATGCTTCGCCAAGCTCCGCTATGCTCCGCTGTGCTATGTCATGCTATGCTACAGCATAGGCTCCCCACAGTGTGGGGAACCTAAGGTGGTTCTTGTGATTTAATTTCGGAGCTGATATGCCGGTGTCAGTTGTGTTTCACGTATGCGTGACACTGTGAGTCATGCCGTGCTGTGCTATGCTATGCTATGCTGCGCTATGCTACACCATGGGTCCCCCACTTAGTGGGGAACCTATGCTTTGCCATGCTGTGCTATGCTATGCTATGCTATGCAATGTTATACCATAGGGTCCCCACTTAGTGGGGAACCTATGCTTTGGCATGCTGAGCTATTCATAGCTATGCTATGATATGGTACACCATAGGTTTCCCACTTAGTGGGGAACCTATGCTTTGCCATGCTGTGCTATTATGCTATGCTATGCTACGCTATGCTACACCATAGGTTCCCCACTTAGTGGGGAACCTATGCTTGGCCATGCTGTGCTATGCTATGCTATTACTATGCTTTGCTACACCACGGGTTCTACTTAGTGGGGAATCTATGATTTGCCATGCTGTGCTACGATATGCTATGCTACGCTATGTTACACCATAGGTTCCCCACGTTGTGTCGAACCTATGCTTGCTCTGCTATGCTATGCTATGCAATGCTATGGTACGCCATAGGTGTGTTGGGGGAATCTATGCTTTGCCATTCTGTGCAAAGCTAGCCTATGCTATGCTATGTTATGCTACAGCCACGCTATGACATGATAGAAGATATGATATTTATTTGGGGGGGGGAGATGCGGGGGGGAATTATGGCCACCGCAGGTGGGTTCCGTTGAAGGTTGTAATCGTGGCTTTGCCCTGTTAGACCCTAAACCCTAAACCCTAAATTCCCAAGCACCTCGTTGTGCTTCTGCCCACCCCACCGCGCATCACCGTCGCCGTCTACGAGAGACAGGGCATCTCTGAGATGCTTGAGCATGTAGCCCGAGTGGGTCGCCTTGGCAGCTTTTGCTGCTGCCCTCCCCCTCTTTTGGGGATTCGCGCTTCAATGATAAACCCCTCCTGATCCTCAACGAATATAACACCCTAAACCCAAAGACCTTTTCCTCAAAGTGACCGGGGACGCCTGGGAGCGTCTGGGAACGCCTAGGAGCGCCTGGGAGCGCCTGGGAGCGCCTAGCGCCAAGGAGCGCCTGGGAGCGTCTGGGAGCGCCTGGGAACGCTTGGGAGCGCCTGGGAGCGCTTGGGAGCGTGCCGGGAGCGCCTGGGAGCGCTTGGGAGCGCCTGGGAGCGCCTGGAAGCGCTTGGGAACGCGCCGAGAGCGCCTGGGAGCGCCTGGGAGCGCTTAGGAGCGCCTGGGAGCGCCTGGGACCGCTTGGGAGCGCCTGGGAACGCCAGGGAGCGCCTGGGAGCGCTTGGGAGCGCTTCGGAGCGCGCCGGGAACGCCTGGGAGCCCTGGGAAGCCGGGGAGCGCCTGGGAGCGTCTGAAAACGCCTGGGAGCGCCTGGGAGCGCCTGGGAGCGCCAAGGAGCGCCTGGGAGCGCTTGGAACGCATTTGGGAATTTAAAGGGCCAGCGGCCCTAATTCCTAAAAGGCTGTAGTTTGGGAGGTTGCCGGCCATGCGGCCGGGGGTGGGGAGATGTTGCACTTCCTGCCCCCTTCGCCAAGCTTGATCGGCTAAGCGCCCCCCCAATCAAGCTTGCCGAAGGGGGGGCAGCCTTGCCTGGACTGTCGGCCGCTGCGCGCCCGAGAAGCCCTAAACCCTAAACCCTAAACCCTAACCCTAAACTCTAACCCTAACCCTAACCCTAACCCTAACCCTCACCCTCACCCTCACCCTCTCCCTCACCCTCACCCTCACCCTCACCCTCACCCTAACCCTAACCCTAATCCTAACCCTAACCCTAACCCTGACCCTGACCCTGACCCTGACCCTGACCCTGACCCTAACCCCAACCCTAACCCTAACCCTAACCCTAACCCTGACCGTGACCGTGACCGTGACCGTGACCGTGACCGTGACCGTGACCGTGACCGTGACCGTGACCCTGACCCTGACCCTAACCCGAACCCTAACCCTAACCCTAACCCTTAGCTTGAACTTTAACTTTAACTTTAACTTGAACTTTAATATTAACCCTAACCCTAACCCTAACCCTAACCCTAACCCAAACCCTAACCTTATCCCTAACCCTAACCCTAACCCTAACCCTAACCCTAACCCCAAACCCTAAACCCTAAACCCTAAACCCTAACCCTAACCCTAACCCTAACCCTAAACCCTAAACCCTAAATTCTTAACCCTACATTTATTAAACCCTGATTATCTAGACCCCATGCGTCCTGATCGTGATCATCACTCCTGGATCGAGCCTGCTATGAGGATCTCTACGACCCGCTATGTAAACCACCCACAATCCTATGCAAAACATACTATTGCCCGATCATGCGTGCTCCCAGGCGCACTCCTGGATCGAGCCTGCTATGGGGATCTTTACGACCCGCTATGTAAACCACCCACAATCCTATGCAAAACATACTATTTCCTGATCATGCGTGCTCCCAGGCGCACTCCTGGATCGAGCCTGCTATGCTGATCTTTACGACCCGCTCTGTAAACCACCCACAATCCTATGCGGCCCTGTTATGTAAACCCGCTCCGTCTACTGCAACAAATAGCACATTCTGCGCATGCGTGCAGAAACTCCTGCATTTTACCATACAAAGTGCCTTCCGTTGCGACCCGATCCACCGATTCTACCGACTAGCGTTTCCTGCGCATGCGTGCAGAATCTCTTCCGCCCGACCCGACTCGTCCCGCCCGTTACAGCACTCGCGTGCCAACTGGATCGCACATCCGTCGTCGCCGTCGTCGTCGTCGTCGTCGACGCTGTATTCGATGCACCGATGTTGTTGCGAGGTGAGGAGAGATGATCTTTATGGTGGGGTGGCTTGCGGGTGGGATTGACGGCCACCGCAGGTGGGTTCGTGGGCAAGTTGTAATCGTGGCCAAGCCTGTTAAACCCTAAACCCTAAACCCTAAACCCTGAATCTCTAATCCTTATAATTATTAAACCCTAAACCCTTCAAAACCGGCCTCTATGCACCCCCCCCCCCTCCATCCTATGCAAAAAATACGATGTCCTGATCATGCGATGAGAATTTGTTTTTACAATACAAAGTGGCCGGTCGGGAAAACGATCCCGCATGTAACCCGGGGCTTTATATTGTAAAAATATTATAAACTTAACATTCTGCCTTTCAACATGCTCCATCCTTGAAAAAAAAAAAAAAAAAAAAAAAAAAAAACGCTACATCCTGATCATTCCTCGTTTCTGATGTGTACTTTCCATTGTAAAAAATAGTATAAACTCAACATTTTGCTCTTGCAAGATGTGTCCATGTCAAGAATCCATTGCAAAAAAAACGACAGAGTGCACACGCGCGCGGCGGCCGCGCGATCATGGCGAAATCCTTTGAAACACAATGTGTTTT